GCCTCGTGATTATCCCCAAGGTTAGTGCCGCCTCAGGTGCCGTCCCCACGATTGTAGTGTCATCCGCGAAAGCCATGACCGTGACAGAAGGGAAGATGTCGGCTGCCACCTGAAGCGCCGGTTGAATAGCTGCTGCAAAAAGCATGGGGCCCAATGGGTCTCCTTGGCGTACCCCGCGTGCGCTTTCTATGTGCACTTCCGCGAAACCCTCGTCAGAAGCAGACGGGAGGGTGTGCCGTAGAGTGTGCGGACTAGAGGTAGTATGCGGCTAAGCCCGGAGAAGTGCAGGGACTCGAAGAATTCCGCCCGTTCGACCGAGTTAAAGGCGTTTTCTACATCCAGCTGCAGTGCCACTCGTTTGGGGTCCTCGGATAGGAGAGCCCTGACCGTGTGAATAGTGCATTCTGCCCTTCCAGGTACCGCCACGCCGAACTGCACCGGTAAGAAGAACTCTCTGATGGGCGTGCTTAGCTCCCTCAGTGCTGCCTTAGCGGTAATCCGAAGTACAGCCTCCCCTATGGCTATGGGTCTGACGCCTCCGTCTGGCTTCCCTAAAGCTATAAGCCTAGACGGTAGCAGGAGTTTTGTCAGATCCGTCGGCAGGTGCGTACTAAGAACATAGTTGACGACGCCGTGCAGGTATGTGAATACCTCTCTGTTGGTGAGGGCTGGGTCTCGTAGGTGCTCGAAGCAAGCGCCTGATGGTTCAGATCCAATTCCGTTGGGGCATTTCGCAAGTACCTCGCGAAATGTTTCCGCCGACGTTGATAAGTTGCTTGACGCGAACCCTGTTACCCAGGTCGGGGTTTCGCTTCCTGAACCTGGGTGCTTTGCCTTCAATGTTTTCAGTGTCTCCGTAAAGGGTCCACTAGCCAGGCCAAACCTTCCCGACCAGAGCCAAAAAGGGTTCGACTATGAACCCTAAACCCTACACGACTATAATGAAGGGTCCACTAGCCAGGCCAAACCTTCCCGACCAGAGCCAAAAAGGGTTCGCCCGATCCTTTTTTTGCTCGCCCTGTGTATGGGCAAACCGGGCCGCCAAACTGCCCATCCGGCCCGGTCCAGTTCAATCAGGACCAAACCTGGTTCAGCCCTTGCTCAACCGTCGATCAAACGTGTTTGAGTTCGCTCATTGCTCATGTTTAGTCTCGCCACGAACACATTCAAACAAATACATGCTCGTTCTTGTGTTAGAAAAACAAACAAACAGCCAAACAAACAAACAAACAAAAAAAAAAAAAAACAAACAAACAATCAAACAAACAAAAAAACAAACAAACAAACAACATGTTCAGGTGTTCACCCTTCTGCCCATGTCTATGTGTACCTGTGACCTGACCAATTAAGTATTTGGTTTAGGTCTAACCTTAACCTAACAGGTCGTTTGTTCGTGTCTAGCACAGGATACGACTTGCCAAACTCTTTTTTGATTCGGATGAATATCCCTCTTTATGCCTGGTTCATGCTCCGTCTTTGTCAGGGATTTAGGGGCCAATAACTTCACCGCATCCATGCCATCCACTATTGGACGGATCACTACCTTGACATACTTGTGAGAACTTTGCTGTGCTACTGGATTAGTGTGCCACCGCTGCTTCCTTGCTTGTGAGCTTTCCTCGTCATTCACATGTGAGTCACATCCACAACGCAAGAAGCTTCGACTGCTGTTGATTATTTGCGCACAGAGCGTGGACTGGATGCGTTTGTCCACAAATGAATGATGTGATGCGACATTCTTAAAGTGCGCTTTTCTGGTCAATGTAGCCAAAAACGAAGTTACCAGCTGAAGTTCCAGGTATTGAGGTACTGACGCCGGCCGCTTCCAATGCATCATCTTACCACAACGTTTCTTTGGAAATGCTCTATTAGAGTGGCTATCCGAGGGTCAGCAGCAACTAAGATCTTCAGATGAATGTTAAAAAAAAGTTGCAGGTTTGACCTCAAGGTCCAGGAGGGGCAACCTGTAATCTTAACAGGTCTAAATTCCCACCCGCCACACGCGTACATGCAGAAAGAGGAAAGCAACACATACAACATACAAGCTAGAGATGAGCAGAGTGCGAACCTTGTTCGGCCCGGGTCGGGCCAGTTTGTTTCTTACCCGGGTCGAAACGGCAAACTGTCTTCAGTTCGCTTTTGGCCGTGGGCCAGAATACCGGGTCAAACTGGCCCGACTCGAGTTGCTGCCCAACCCGAGCCGAAATGGCCTGGGTTGGACCGGCGCGTCATTTGTCGCACGTGCATTTAGGCCAAACTGACTGGACGTTGGAGTTCATTCAAGCTTGGAAGTCCCAGTGGGATTGGAGGTTAACATTAGACTTCAGACACACTATTGAGCTCCAACTTCCTTGGTATGTAAGCCTAATCTGACCCAAATCTTAGCGCATCTAACTTGAAATGCCTAGCCCGCTCATGAACAATTTTTCCAACAAGAATTTGTCTGTTAACAGTCGACGTGTTTGATTCTAGATGTAGTCAATATCCAAGAACTTCTAATCCTACGCATTTCGTGTTAGGGATTACAAACCCAGAAACTTAGAGGCTAAGAAGCTGTAGCTTACGACATAGGAAACATGCTCTAAACTGCAATCTCACTTGATTGTAGTAATACCCTGGACTGGGCCGGACTCGAACAAGCCTGGGTCGGGCCGAAAAAAGTTCAGACGAACCGTTTCTGGCCCGGTCACCATATGGCCGAAGCGGTGCCTAGGTACGGCTAGCTGGCCCGGTTCGGCCCATCAAAGACGACACCAGTGTGCAACCTAGAAAGACCTGCCAATGACTCGTGGGACACACACAAATGCTGACCTTTCTTGACTCATCATTCTCCTCTTCATCGAAGCACACGCTGAGATCACACGTCTCTATCCCTCCCTCTTGTTCCTGTGGGTGCAGGAACCTCTCGTCAAACTCACTGTCGGGCTCCATGCCAGAATCATTTGCGCGCCTTACTAACTTAAACGGATTGTACGTATTCGCATATTCTCTCTCTCGAACGCTCCTTCATATTCTCTCTCTCTCTCTCTCTCTCTCTCTCTCTCTCTCTCTCTCTCTCTCTCTCTCTCCCTCTCTCTCCCTCTCTCTCCCTCCCTATCTCTCTCTTTTTATGAACTTTAGTAACCCTGCTACGTGCAAGGCCTGTGCTGTCCCCTCTTCAGATATCTCGACAACAACAAATTTACGGGCAGCATCGCAAAGTCCATTGGCAGCCTTTCAAGACTTTCCACCTTGTAAACACTCCTCTCAAGGAAGCTTTCTACTAGTCATGTTTTCAGCCATGGCCAAACCTTTGCTTATAAGGCCACTATGATGGGGTGACCCATAACCCTGAAACGAATACATGTTTTGACTTTTGCATTTTCCTGCACTCTCTTCTTGACATCATCATCCATTTTTTACATCACAGCTCTTATCATTTTAATCCAGTAGTCAAAACCTCCGGCATCTCAAAAGCTCTGGTTGCTGTTCTATGTAGCCTAGTTGGCATATGCGCTCAAACCCTTTCGTGTGTAGCGTATATGTGCTTGGGTGTATATGCAAAACGCTATACGCTAACTAATACGCTATACGCAGTCAGAGGGCTGCCCAAAAAATATGTGGATTTTTCTTGTGAGCATTTTGCCAAAGTCAAAATGCAAATCCACGGTCTACGCAAGCAGGGATCTGACTTCAAAGATTTCAGGCACATGTGGCGATTCAGTAGCTAAACTTCAGATCGCATCTAGGCATTGAAACCCATTCCATCTACCACATTGAAAAGGATCCCATCTACGAACTCCGACCTGTCAAAAACGAACCCCCAACTAACCGCACACGACTGACCAGCCAACTTAGCTTCTAATTCGTCGAAACCCACTTTGCATTCCTGCTTTCAGCAGAGTTCCTGCCTACCCCTACTTCTCTGTCTAGATACTCTACCTCCCATCCTATCCCACCCGCTGTTCGGAGTTAGGAGTATGCTGAAATTCTATTGAATACGGATTACCTATTTCCATCCTGCCCGAAATGTTTATTTCCCTGCCCAACAAAGCATATACCAAATATGAGCCATAATCGTCTAGAATATACACACAGCGTTTATATGATCGCAGATATGCGCTAAACGAGTATAGGCCAAGCGACATATCTATGTAGCAATCTAAAATTCAACTCAATGATGCTATATTGCAATGAGCTGAGTGGTATGAGGTATGTGCTTGTAGCCCATGCGAGTTATCATATAACAGAGCTCCAAGCAATGATGCCCCTCATGGATGCCGTATGCCATGTTTTTTTTAGCACACAGGTCTGTGGTGGGAAGTGGACTCAGATGCCCTCGTGGCGAATGCATGGTGCAACAGCTCCGTCGAAGTGCCTTCTGCCACGAATGCCCCTCTTTCTGCACCACTTGCATCAAGCCAGCACCTCGTGAGCCAAAAACGTTGGTTTGCTAGCTATCCCCCTTACATAAGTTTCTTTTTCTTTACATCTCAAGGTTCAGATTCAAAGCATGCGCACTGCAACCTCCTGAACCCCCATCTCCATGCATGAGCCACCATGCCAGCAGCAAGCATCAGCAGTGCTGCTGCTTTTCTTGGATAGTACAAACAAACCAATGAAATTGGATGCACATAACATATATCACACTATATGTTATCTTCAACCCAAAGCTTTCTGAGCATCTCATTTCTTTCTTGGAACTGCTGTTGTTCCATGTCTGTCCCTTCCCATGTCCAACCCTTCCCATGTCCATCCCTCCTCATACCATGTCCATCCCTTCCCATATCCATCTTTTCTCATGACCATCTCGTCCCACGTCCATCCCTTCCCCATGCCCATCCCTCCGCATCTGAAGTCCATCCCTTCCCATGACCATCCCTCCCCCTCCCATGTCCATCCCCTCCCTACCTCCTCCAGCGCCCCCCTCCCCATCGCTAGACAGCACCATGGCATTGCCATCCCCCCCCGCTGGCTCCCCAGCACCTGCAACGCCCACCTCCCAGCCTGACCGCCTATCGATGGCAACCGTTGCTGGCATTGCGGTGGCTGCAGTGGCTTTTTTGCTGCTTCTTCTGGTTGGAGGGCTGCTGTTTTGGAGGAGCTACAAGAACGAGAGGGAGGCAGTAGAGGGAGCAGCAATAGCGGGGGAGGAGGGCGAGGATGCAGTACAGCAAGTAAAAACAGATAAACAAGGTGCAAAGATGGCTTCCTTTCCCTTGCTCTTTATCTAGCAATATCTTTTTATCGCAAACATCTCAGCACTATGCAATCGACAGCAAAGGAGCAGCTATAACATTGGAAGGCTTGTATGGGTTCGCTGCGTTTATCCTTCATCCCACGAGCAGGCCCAACAGGCAGCGTGGCGGCCTCGCACTGCACGGAGTACTCCCTGGAGGAAGTGCTCACAGCCACCAGCAACTGGGCGAGTGACAGCCAGCTGAGGTCGGGAGCCTTTGGTGACGTGTACAAGGGCGTGTCTCCGCGCGATGGCACCACCCTGTGGGCCGTCAAGCGAGCCAAGCTGCTGGATGCTGACTTCCAGCGAGAAGTGAGCAACTTCTTTTGTGTCAGGCTTTGACCATGCCACTCATGGGAAAGAAGTAAATAATTAAAGATTGGGAATAGTTAACGATTGTGGCTGCTTTCACGATGCCCATGCCATCATTGCCATCCACCGTTCATCCATGCAGTTAAAGCCCGAGTCTAGAATGGCTACTCTTCAAGTTCAAGATTCTTGAACTAGAATTCGCTACGGAACCAGGTAACCCGGTTTGGAACACCCTTCTCTCGCAGCCCCCGAAGGGGTGATTGGAGCCCTTGTTTTTGATTGGCTGAAACTACACAGCCACAACAGTCACAGCCATCGCCAGGAAAACACAAAACAGGAACTACTGTTCATACTTTCGGAAACTTGAAGCTCGGGACTACCTTTCTAGACTCCATGGTAGTGGGCTCCTTAGCCCTCAGAATCGGCTTTATCCCGTAAATGATTAGGCAAACACCTGTCACTCGACTACGAATCTTACGGTCAACGGAAGCATTACTCACTCCCTTCACTCCTGTCACTCGTAATCCTGACTCGCACATGCTGTTCGCACATAATGTTAGCGCAAACGTCCACAAGGTGGCTACATCTCGGCTTTCTAAGACATCGCTCACCTGTTCCCTTTTAGGATTCGAGCAGATTACACGCTCAAACCTGTCACTCACACGCTCCCCACTTCTCACAATACATGTATTTCCGTTTGTCTACGTCGCTCTGGTCGCTCCACGACCTCCCAGTCCTTGGCCAAAAGTTCAACCGCTCTTAGCGCTCGCCTCCCTCCCGTCGCCTTTTAGGTGGCGCTCCCTTCCCGCGCCCGTCGCCCACGCTTACTTCTAGTGTCGCCCACGCTCTCCCATCCCGTCGCTCGCCGCTTTCCCTTCACTTCGCAAAAACTATTCCTTCCGTTCGCCCACGCGATTCCTTACCGAAGCCCTCGCCTAGCCTTCCCGTCGCCCTCGCAAGTCCTTTCCTAGCAATCGTAGATCGTGCTCGTCGCCCACGACCCTCGGATCAGACTCCCTCGTAACCTCCCTTCCTTCCCTCCATTCGCCTCCTTTTACCCCTCTCCCGTCCCCCACAGGACAACTCCCATCCATCCCTTTCCCCTCGCGCAGGTTCGCGATCATCGCTCCGCCCTCCCGTCCCTCATGTCGCCTCCGTCCCGCATTTCCTCTCGTGTTTCTCTTCCCTCCCGTCCCTCTCGACCTTCTCCGCCGCTCGCCTCAGCCCCACATTCGCATCGCTCACTCGATCCCTCCGCGCACTCCCTCACGTCGCTCGCTCAAACCCACCGCTCACAAAGGTTTGTCACCTCATCGGTTCCGTCGCTCACACACCCACGTTTGACACACCCGTTCTGCACACTCCCCCGTCGCACACTCACTTCGTCGCTCGAGAACTCCCGTCCCGCAAGGTTTGATCCTGTCGCTCTCGTTACCCGTTGTGGTCCGTCCATGTTCGTCACGCGCCCGTCTTCGTCGCTCCCATTGTTCGCTCACCCCCCTCCCCTCTTCCTCCCTTCTTCCCCTCCATACCCTGCCATGCGCCAACTTCTCCGCACCAATCTCCGCGTGCCTGCTGCGCGTAACGGTGCTGCAGATCCGGCTGGCGCTGATGATCGAGGACCCACGCGAGGCGGTTCGGCGGCCGCAGATGGGCATGGCGGGTGCTCTCACTACGATTCTGCCGACGCCTTCCTAGAGGTGCGGACGATGGGCGGGGGGGAAGGGAGATGTGGGGGAGTGGAACGAGAGGTTTGTGAGAGGGCTGGTAGTGGGCTGGGAGAGGGCTGAAAGAGGGCTGGGAGAGGGGAGGGGGGGAAAAGGGCGGGGAAGGGGGGGTAGAGGGAGGGGGGGGGGTGGGGGGGGGGAAGGGATGGAGGGGAAGTCATACACAACGAAATTGGGTTCTTTTGCGACGAGATTGCAAATTCATTCCTCGATAATCCGGGGAAGATGGGAGGAGCGAGCGGGAATAATCGCATGGAGGGGGGGTGGGGAGGGGGAGGAGGAAGGTGGAGGGAGGGGAGAAGGGGGGGGAGGGAATGGGGAGCTTGGTTGGTGATGAATGTGTGAGGGTTTCACAGCGAGAGGAAATGTGTGGTGACGGGGATTGCTAGTAGTTTTACCTTTTTCAAGTTTCAACCCCTCTCTCTTCTCCATCCCCGCGCCACCCATGTGACATTGATCACAACAATGTGTGCACACATTGTGCACAATCCTCTCCCCTTGGCCTCCCCGCCTCTTCCCCTCTGCGCCATCCCCGCCCTTTACCTCCCTCTCCTTTCTCCCCTCCCCCCTTCCCCTTCTTCCCCCCTACAGCCTGTAGGTGTGCGAGCAAGTGTGCCTGTATACCGCTGGTGCTGTACAAGCCAGTGTTGAATCGTCTCAACCCATCCCCACACTTTCCCCTCTGTACCATCCCTGCCATTCCTGTCTGTGCCACCCATCCCCTCAGAGTGCTGCAGGTGCGCGAGGGCATTATGCCAGCATACGGCATGGTTCTGCGGAAGCTTGACCTCCCATGTGACGTCTCATAACAGCCCCTCTCCACTTCCCCGCACTCATCTCTTCCCCTGCTGCAGGTGTGAGAGGACTTCCACCCCTCTCCAACACCCCTCTCCTTCACCCCTAAACTCTCTCACCCTCTCACACCTATCGCTCACTCACACCCATCACTCACTCACACCCATCACTCTCTCCTCTCATCACGTACTCATGCTTCCCACTCTTCCACTCCCCACCCTCCCAGCCACACGTCCTCCTTCCTAACCTGCCCTTCTTCTCCCCACCAGTGCCTCCCTTCCCTCCGTCTCACTTCGCCTTTTCCCTCGTTTTTCCCCCCGTCCCTCACAGTGCAGCCTGTCTCGTGCCTTCACTCTCAGCCCATCTCTCCCCGTCCTTTTCTACCCATAATCTCATTTCCGCCTCTGCCATCTTTTCCTACTCGCCACCCTCCCTTCCCCCCCCTTCCGTATGCGCTGTTTCTCCCGACTCTCACCCGTGCTGCTCCCACTTACCTCCTCGCCTCGTGTTTATCACTTCCCCCCTCACACGCCCCTTGTAATCTCTTGATAAACCCTACCCCTTCGCTCCCTTCCCTTCCTCTCTTCTCGTCCCTGCCCTCCCTTGTCCTCTACTACCTTCCCGCCCATCTCCACTCATCCCTTCCCTCTATGCCCCTGTCCGCTCCCCCGTTTCTCATTCCAGGGATTTTCAAACTGTGCCCCTGACTCGCGTCTCACAGAATGCATGTGCAGCACCAACACTCACCGTGCGCGAGTGTGATCCTGCAGAATGATAACGGGCATGACATGGATTTGGCGAGCTCGTTTAGGGATCATGGACTTGACACTGCTCCCCCCTCCCTACTCGCTGCTTTCAGATTGCTCATCCCCACAATCCCGTTCAACCCCTACATACTCCCTTATGCCATATCTCTCGAATCACCTTTCTCGTTGTGTCACCCGTGGCCTTCCACCCGTTTGCACTTGCCCTCCCCTTCTTTCCTCTCTCAATACTCCCTCTTTCTCTCCTCGCCTTACCCTCCGCATCCCTGTGCATATCCCCCTTGAATGCATCCCGTTTCGTCATTCCCTCCAATTCCGCCCCCCATCACTCTCGTTTCCCCCCTTGTCCTTCCCTCCGTTTCCCCACTGTCCCCCCCTCCCTATCCCCTCGTCCTTCCCTCCGTTTTCGCCACTGTTTCTCCCGCCTTTCAACCCTGTCCGGAAGACCGGTTCCCCCCTTGTCCCTCCCTCCCTTCCCCCGCTGACCTTCCCTCCGTTCCCCCCCCTCCCCCCTCCCTCCCTTTCCCCCGTGTCCTCCCTTCCGGTTTTCCCTCTGTCTCACCATCCCTCTCCCCCGTGTCCCTCCCTCCGTGATCACCCATGTTTCTCCCTCCCTTGCCCTGCGTCCTTCCCTCCATTTCCCCCCTTACTCTGTGCCTCCTCCTACGCCTCAATCTGCGTTTCATCTCTCTGCCTTTCGCCGGCCCTGCCCGTCGGCACCTCCTCAGTCGTGCGCTCCCCACCACCCCCCCCATTCCCTGCCACCCTCTGCCCCCCATCGTTCTGCCCATCGCTCCGCACGACTGTGGCGGCACACATAGCCTGCACCAGAGCTCGCCCCTCGGCCCACCCTGGCTGTGGGGGTGACAGGGATGGACTCGCGCCAGCTCAGGCCTGGGCAGGCAGGGCAGGCGGGGCAGCAGCAGCAGCAGCAGCAGTACGCAACGCTGGTGCCAACGCGGCAGTTCCGTGCTCCCGTCCCACTCCCGTCCCACTCTCTCTCTTGTCGCTCACACTCGCTCCCATACCCTCTCCCCCCCCTTTCTGCAGGATTATCCCCACATAACTTACGGGACAGGACATGCATTTGCATCCCCACTACTCTCCATCTGTCCGTTGATTAGAAGAAGAGTGACAATGTGCACCAGATTAGCCGCACCATTTTTGTATTGCGACAATGACAGGGTTGGAGCAAACACATGGGTCCATCCATGGTGTAGAATGTAGTGTTGGTCATGTATTGGCCTATGATGCCACCGAAACACACAGCTCCGTGCACTGCGTGTTTTAGGGATGGTTGTCGTGGTTGTAAGTACGATGGCAGAGCTAGTAAGGGTTCTCTCTGCTTGTTGTGCATAGTTTAGTTTGTATACCCCCCAACATCATGTGCACCTGTATATGGCGAGACATATTTGGCTTGTCGATGGATACATCCGAAAGAACCTAAACTGAAGGGAATTGTACCGGAATTTCACAACTTCAACGCCGACACTTGCTTGTCATACTGGCTACCTAGTAGCTTGAATGGAAAGGAAGAAAGGAAAATAAAGAGTGCTATAACCATAGCCATTTAGTCAGCATACTCAGGACCATGTAAAGGGTACGATTGCACCCGGATACTTTGGTCATTTGTCAAGGGAAGAACGTCATAGCGCGGTCTTGAAGAGGTGACATCAGGGACGGGAGCAGGAGGCTCCGAACATACGATTACGGGTTGGATTTGCCTTGAGAGGCTAGGAGGACGTTGGTGAAACAATCCTGGCGACTGGGGGTGGGGCAGGGCAGAGAAGGTGGCAAGGTAGTAAGGGTACAGACGAAGAGGGCCTGGGTTTATATATGAGAAAAGCCCTGATATGTTGGGGGTGGGGCGCGACGGATTTGAACGGAAGGGGAGGGAGAGTGGCAATGGAAAAGGGGAAGAAGAGGAGGATGGCTGCGCATGAGTAGTGTGCAGTCTCAGAGAGAGATGGTAAGTTGGTAAGGTAATAGCAACGGGAATGAAGTGGCAAGATGTGGTAATGGAAGGGGGGACCTGGGGAGGCTTATGAAGGAACAGTAGACACTAAGCTAGAATGAACCCACATGTCTTGGGAGAAGATGATGAAACTGTCGCCGGTATATATGAGTGGACCAATACACCAAATGTAATAATCATTGGGGGAGTAAGGGTGGAAGGAGGATGGGTTGTAGGAGATGCCGGAAAACTTTAGTTATGAGAGTGGCGAACAATAGTGGTGCGACTCCTACCTCAATAGTTGGCTGATTGCGTCCCCACTGCCTTTACTGCCACCGATTGTGAACTTTTGAGCCAGCTGCCCCCCGCCCTCCCTGCGCCGGCCCACGCTGAAGGTGGTTGTGCTGGGGCAGGGAGGCAAATGAGTCTCTGAAGGTGGTTCCGCCCCTTGTAATCTCTGGCTGCTGCTGTTGAAGTTGTGGTTGTGCTGACGCCGCACCAATAGCACTCCAGTTCTGCATGGGCAAGGGGAATGACATGATAGCTGACAGAAAACAAGGGGGGCGACAAGGGTTAGGAAGTTATAAAGGGAGGGTCGGATGGGAAATGGCATGAAAGGGAAGGGAGGTGGATAAGGTGAGTGAGGGATTAAACAAGAATGTGGCATGGCTTTATGTTGGCTATAAGTGTGAGTTGCGTTGGCGGTGGGGTAAACTATTGTGTCTGCAATGAGATTGCTGCAAGGAGGTGGTGGGGGGTGGTGGTGGAATGGGGGGTGTAGGGTTTATTACCGATTTTGTAGCATGGGTTCCAACAACCGGCTTCGTGTGTTGACGTGGTATGCGGAATGGTAGTTTGGGCCCACGACGAACGCCGAGAGAGGTCCGACCACGCTTAGCGTGGGTGATTGGAGATGTCACCTACATAAAGAGTGCAAAGAATGATTCCATCTCATTATATGGAAGTTATGATGAGAGAGGAGAGTAGGCCTTTTGCGAATAAAGCGGGAAGCGACTTACTCAAACACCGTCGCGTCCGTGGTCGCGCCAGTGGGCGAGGGGGGTTTCCCCCCTCATGCAGTGGTGCAGGCGTGGCGGGCTCAAGACCCTCCCGGGCGCTGGTGGTGCTCCCAGTGACATCCGGACGAGTAGGAACCGTCTGCTCCCCATCCATTTCCCCATTCAATGTTTTGAGCCACGATTCCATTATGCCATCAAGCCATGACCAATCCATTGGCGCTAAGGTCCGATCCTTATTGCCACGCCGAATCCGTGTAATCTTTCGTTGACGCGTGCGATACCCTGTCACCAACCGATCCATGCAGTTGTTCTAGTGCAGAACAGCAAGCGCTATTCGTGCTTCGAAACTACCCCGGAAACGGATCCTCTTGGGAGCGTACTTGAGGATGACTGAATGAAAAGATTCGTTAATGGAACTAGACGCACCATGAACGAACATTTTCACCTTGTCCGGCCCGCACCGCTTTGCAAGCCAATCCTGCACCGCCTTGTGAGTATCCGAACCCTTCTCGTTAATTGCAGTCTCGATGCCCCATCTCTCCGTCACGCAGCGAGATGTACGCCCTGATTGGCCACACCCCGAGTGATCGCCCGCCCAGTGGTTGGCTGCAAGCCCCAGCTCGTCGGCCACCTGTTCCGGTGTCATAGATTTCCCCTCCGCCAGCCGTGCAGCACACCTCATCATGATATAGTGAAAGTGTGAAGCAAAACGTGAAGCCACAGTCACCCACCCATCGTCCGCGTCCTGGTCATCACTGTCCCGTTTTCTTTTCCGACGCTTGGTCCAACGCAGTGGTGGTGTAGGTTCGGATGCGCATCCAGTTCTTTCATCGTCTCCATCACCAGGATCATCAACCGCTCCCACAAGTCCTGCAAAGTAACATTAAATAAGGGGTGCGCATTATCGTTAGGGGCGAACGAGTGCAATAATATCCAACAATTGGATAATTGCGTAGCCGCGAACTCACTAGCATCGAGATCGGAAGAGGTGTGCTTCCTCCGATAAATTCCGATTGCACACCAGCCGACATGTGTGCATGCACCACGAGAGAAGAGGCGAGTGACGATGGCCGGGTGCCGCGCGCGGGGTGTACATCATACTCCCAGAGCTGGTCGACATTGCTCCACTGGACCTCCACCATCCTTTCTCCGGATTCCGGTTCCTCGTCCACATGCCCATCTGTCTCCACCACCCTCGGACCTTGTGTTGAACTGGCATGTTGTGCATTTGGCGCATCTCCGTACCCCACTGGAACATCAACCACTGTGCCACTGCCCCCAACCCGTCGCACTTTCCGCAGCTCCAAATGCTTCCACTTTGCATCGTCTTGTGTCATCTTCACATAGGTGAAAGCCCCCATGGCTTTGCACACTGACTGCACCAAACTCTCCTTCAGTGTCGCTTTGCTCTCTTGAAGTAGCCCTTTGTTTTTCAGCCACTGCTTCAGTCCCTCAACCGTAGCAAGCCATAGATGTTCGATCCTACTAGCCTTCTCTAGCGGAACAGGTTCACGTACCGCGTCCTGTAATTCCTTCCGAAATAAGTTGTACAGCGTCTTCTTCACATGCCACGTGTCTACCTGATGGTTCAAGTTCCGCTCGGCAGCAGCTCCCTTGAATGTGGTTCCCTGATCTGAAACAATCCCCTTCACCTCAAAACCCTCCGCTGCTAAGGCATCAAATCCTTTGTCAAACGCGATTCTCTCCAACTTCACAGACGACTTGTCATGGACATGTTTCTGTGTCGTTGAGCAGTACAGTATTTTCCGTGTCACGCTATCCATAAAGGATACTGTACAACACT